TGTTTTTGTAAGCCCCCTGCGTCTGCCAAGATTTCCAACCAAGCCAGCTAGTATTACTTGGATGTATCATTATTGGAGAAAGCCCAGACTCCACCAGAAGGTGCAACAACCAAACCATTGCATGCGCCAAGCGACTTCTCCTGCAACTGCTAGAAGGAGCACCTTCCACAGTTAGTTCCGCGGCCCGCGAAACACACACATTTTTTCCCCAACAGCAAAACTTTGCTATAGGGTCTTTAGCCTAGGTGAGCTCTGGCGCGATCCGGTGCAGCTTCAACACCAGGTTCCGGGCAAGACTCCGAAGGGTTTCGGAGGGTTCCGGTGCAGATACCTGATGAGGTTCCGGAGGGTTCTGGTGCAGATACCTGTTGAGGGTTCCGGCGCAGAGGGTTCCGGTGCAGATGCTTGGTTGAAGTTCTGGAGGGTTCCAGGACAGCAGTCTAGATACCTGGTGAGGTCTGGAGGGGTCCGGTGCAGATACCTGGTGACGTTCCGGAAGCTTCTGGTGTTGAGGTTCCGGAGGATTCCGGTGGAGAGCCCGGCAGATACCTGGTGAAGTTCCGGAGGGTTCCGGTGCAGATACCTGGTAAAGTTCCGGAAGGTTCCGGTGCAGATAGCCGGTAAGGTTCCGGATGGTTCCGGTGCAGATCGGTAAGGTTCCGGGAAGTTCAGGTGCAGGTACCTGGTGAGGTTCCAGAGGGTTTTGATGCAGATAGCCGGTGAGGTTCCGCAGGGTTCCGATGGCCATAGCTTGTGAAGTTCCGGAGGGTTCTGGTGCAGATTGTTCAGGTTCCAGAGCGTTCTGGTGCAGATACCGTATTGAAGTTCCGGAGGGTTCTGGTGCAGATACCTGGTGAGGTTCTGGCAGGTACTCGGTAAGGTTCCAGAAAATTCAGGTGCAGGTACCTGGTGAGGTTCCGGAGGGTTTCGGTGCAAATACCTTGTGAGGTTTTGGAGGGTTGCGATGCAGATACCTGGTGAGGTTCCGGAGGGTTCCGGTGCAGATAGTTGGTGAGGTTCCGGAGGGTTCCGGTGGAGGTATTCGGTAAGGTTCCGGAAAGTTGGGGTGCAGATGCTTTGTGAAGTTCCAATAACGGTTCCGATGTTTTTTCATGGCATAATTTATTTTTTGGGTAGAGGCACTTAAACGGAGTATATGACGCACTCATATACTTGTAGATTTACTTTGCAGGAGGCGGGGGGTGGAGCGTGGCAAAAAAGAAGTCGATGCATAAATGGTTAGACCATGCACTCTGCAAACCGAAACAAAATTTTGAAGGAACGAAACGGCAACGTAAAGACACAACAATCTTAACACGCGCGGGCTTGCAGACGATTGACCAACAGACGGCCGACGAAAGTTGAAGAGTCATCTCGAACCATTACGACGTCATGGGTTAAAAACAGCAGAGACATGGGTGACAGCGATTGGCGTCGAATCAAAATACGATTGTACGCAATGCACGAAAACTTTTTCATGACTAAAGTCTTAAGTAAAGAATTTCGTGAACCCTAATTTTAGCGAATATTCTGAGGATGGACCCTCAATAAGCGTTTTGACTACATGAACGCTCAAAATGGAAGGTTTTTTGCGCTTAATTTTCGATGATTCTAAGTTGAAAACGCATTTTCAGCAAGTGGCTTTCCCGGTGGTAGGTGCAGGACCTTGCCCGGACCTTCAACCCGCAAACATTGTCAGATCTTGCCATTCCTGAGCTTAAGGTTTATTCAATTTTCTGATAATGATTGCGCTATATGCGTTTTGAGTGCTTGGAGAGTGAAAAACAACATTTGCTGTTTTCCTTTTTGACAAATTAGACTGTAAATTTGCATATCGCCTGTTTGGAAGCGACGGAACCACAAAAATATTCACTTTCCTATGCCAATCTGCGTTGATATATTCACATGAGTTTTCTTTTTGTTGCAATGGAATCTCCATATAGCATGCTTCTCGGCTGGATGATCCTGAGCAGCATTCTCACAAGTAAATGCTATTATCATGATCTCGGAAAGTCAAACGAACAAACGCTTCATGAAGAAACAGCATATTCATGTTGGCACGCGGGCACCAATAACGAACAATCAAATCTGAGGACAAGCGCCCCAATCTTTCAAAACCAAACGGTTTGAAGCGTTGCCGCTCTCAAATTTAGAAAAAACATAACGGTCCCTATAGTGATTTTCTGATGTTATCCTCCGAAAACTTTGGTGATATGATATCATGTGACATCCTGAGAAACTATGCTGATCCTCTGGGCTGGTATCAGAAAATCCTGATGATGCCCCCAGAGTTTGTGGCTAGTATCGTGATAAATTTCTGCTGAAATTTTGATCAATACATTCTGATGATATCCTCAGACAGATCCGATACTCCTCAAACTTCTGATGATAATTCCATAATATCCTTAGAAAGTTATGATGGGACGCTGGTGATATCCGCAGAAAACTGTCGCAATTTGCGCTGAAAATATTGGCAATGTTTTTTGAGAACAAAACATCCTCGGACTTTGTAGCTGATGTGTTGCAACAAAAACTGATCCTTGATTAGCATTTTTTCGTTATATATCAGAACTTTTTGATGGTTATCAAACAATTCTGGAGACTCCTCAAAATGTACTGAGGAACCCTCAAAATTTTCGGAGGAGCCTTCAGATTTTCCTGAGGAATCGTCAGATTTTTTTGAGGATCCTCATCCTCAAACTTTTTGAGGATCCTCAGAATTTTCTGGGGATCGTCACCCTCAGAATTTTCTGAGGATCGTCTTTGAAAATGCGATCGGAAAAAAAAGTGAAAAAAACATTTGAAAAAATGTGAGAAAATGCGGAAAAAATTGAAAATGTGAAAAACTGTGGAAAAATTGAAAAACGCGGAAAAATGGGAACACAAGGCAATTGAAAAGTTCCTGTTTCTCAGCTCCATTTTCCATTTTTTCTAGATATAGGTTTTTCCCAGGTTTTCTTTGAAACCCAGTGTTAAATTATAGAATATTAAACTTAAACATTAGGATTCCACAAACGCATATATTCATTCTCAATGATTCATGCCAATAGGTTCACAAAGAATGTAGATTCTATTTAATTTAAATTAGGAAAAGTATTAAAAAAACATGTTTTTCCTCATGTTCCACATTTTTTCATATTTTTCACATATTTTTCACATTCTTTCACATTTTTGAAATGCATTTTTTCACATTTTTTGAAATTGCATTTTTGAAACACATTTTTGTCACATTTTTTCACATTTTTACTTAATCATTGTTTTCAGGCTTGTAGCTGGAAACGGCCATGATAAACATAGAGCCGTAGCCACTCGCAAGGTCGAACTCCAATAATGATAAACTTTGGTTGTTCACCTCCCTTAAAAGCAATTAACTCCGGTTTTTAATTGTTGTTCCAAGGGGGTTGCTCCCAAAAAAATTAACACGGAATTTAAAACGAAAATTGAATAAACCAACATAGCGGCAATTAAAACCAGAGTTGATTAACCACATGAGTCATGGAGCAATCCCCATAGAGAGAACAATTGAAATCGAAGGTATTGATGTTCGTGGTGGTGGTGGTGGTGACGGTGATGATGGCGATGGTGATCGTGATGGTGATGGTGATGATGATGATGATGATGATGATGATGATGATGATGATGATGACAATGATGACAATGATGACAATGATGACAATGACGATGATGATGGTGGTGGTGATGATGATGATGCTGATGATGGTAATGATGGTAATGATGGTAATGATGGGGTGGTGGTAACGATGATGATGGTGATCTTGATGGTGATGGTGGTGGCGATGATGACGATGGTGATGGTGATGGTGATGGTGATGATGATGATGATGGTGGTGGTGGTGGTGGTGACGGTGATGATGGCGATGGTGATCGTGATGGTGATGATGATGATGATGATGATCATGGTGGTGATGGAGATGACTCATGACGATGCTGATGCTGAAGCTGATGGTGGTGGTGATGATGATGCTGATGGCGATGGTGGTGCTGATGGTGATGGTGATGGTGGTGATGATGGTGATGGTGATGGTGAAGATGGTGGTGGTGATGATGGTGATGATGGTGATGATGGTGATGATGGCGATGATGGTGATGATGGTGATGATGGTGATGATGATGACAATGATGACGATGATGATGATGATTTTTATGATGATGATGAAGATGATGATGGTGATGATGATGATGATGACGACAGTGGTGATGATGATGAAGAAGAAGATGATGATGATCATGATGATCATGATGATTGTGATGAGGTGATGGTGCTGTGCTGGTGCTGGTGAAGGTGGTGAAGGTGGTGATGGTGGTGATGGTGGTGATGGTGGTGGTGAAGGAGGAGGTGGTGAAGGAGGAGGTGGTGAAGGAGGAGGTGGTGAAGGAGGAGGTGGTGAAGGAGGCGGTGGTGAAGGTGGTGAAGGTGGTGAAGGTGGTGAAGGTGGTGAAGGTGGTGAAGGTGGTGAAGGTGTTGAAGGTGTTGAAGGTGTTGAAGGTGGTGAAGGTGGTGGGTTGTGGGTTGTGGGGGGTGGGCGGTGGCTGACGACGACGGCGACTACATAGTTGATTCTCATGCGGTCTCTCCCGGTCCCCGAGTCCATATGCCCCCATTGGCTTGCCTTTCTTCTACCGAAGCGGTCTGATGCATAGCCAAAGAGCGGAGTATTGAAGGCCTTGATCCAGCGGGGTGAAAAATGGGCACCAGCGGGTTCACACGCATTGGCCATTCTTGGTCTCAGACAATGGCATGAAATTGAGTCTAGAAAAATAATCAAGCGAACATCATCCCAACGTCGTCGGCTTGTGGTGTGCTCTGCGCATCTCAGCTTCCCGCTTGCGCAAAGGAGAAAGCAGTCAGCAAACCTGTGCACGGACTTAGAGGTAGAGAAGTGCAACTCATAAACATGGGGGTGGGGATAGGTCTGCCTGAACTGGGCATGTATGTATGCAGGCATGCATGTTTCTGGGAATTGTCCATTTACAATCTCTATCTCTATTCGTCTAAAATCTCTCTCACTCTCTCTGTCTCTCTCTTCTCTTCGCAAGCCCCTAGTACCTTTGCATCTCCGATTTCATTGCCAAAAAGCAGCCCCACCATTAAAGTCAAAATGCCAAGCCGTGTTCAAATCTATGAATCGCAAAAAAAGTACTGGAGCAGAAAGAACAACAACAGCACTATAGAATCCAGGCTGCAAGGTAGAGTTTTGCAAGCGAACCAACAAAATGTTATATAATTGATTCAAGACTTTGGGTTAAGATTTGGGTTTGCTGATGAACGCTTCCTTCCTTACTCGATTCATTCCTTCCTTTCCCTGTCCATTTCCCTTTTTTCCTTTTCCCTTCCTTTCCTTTCCCTTTCCTTCTCCCTTCCTTCCCCAATTTTCCCTGCCCCAGCTCTTCCTTCCCCCAATCTTTCCTCCCTTCCTCCCTCTCCTTGGCTCGTCATCCCTTCCTTCCCTCCTTCTTGCATTCCTTCCTGCATGCCTGGCGGACAGAAACAAATCACAACAAAGTCATCCAGCAAAACGCTGATGATGGGGCAACTCCTCCCTTCCAGGAGTCCAGTTGTGAATTGAGTCTAAAATTTGTTTCCTTGCCTTCTCTCGGTCCTTCCTCCCTCCCGCCTTCCTTCCTCGTTCCGTCCTGGCTGGTGTAGACCCACACTGACACGGCAACTCTCACAAAAAACGACATAGCCCCTCCCTTCCTGCCTAACAGCCTGGTGACATATTTGCATTTTCCTGCAGCATACATATCCAAACAATGATCCAAAAAAACCCAAGACGGGGTGTTGGCACGCGCAGGGACAAGTCTTGAAGCCTACAGCTGACCATGCTGTCATCACACTTACCCTATAAGACATCCTACTAGCAAGGTAAAGACATTTCCCAAGTGGGGATCCCGAGTCGGTGAACTGAAAGCCTCTCGCACACAAGAGAACATCAGTACTTTAAAATTGTCACGTGTTTCACCATGATTTTCGGATGAGTTAGATTCTTAGCTCATTCTAAGTCGAAGTGTAAGCCAACCCGCACTGGACCCACAGCCACGTAAAACAGCGCGAAAGGTTCGGAAATTGACTCAACCCAAAACTGCCGGGGGGGGTTGCACCTTTGTGCCGACTGGGATCCCCAAACAGATCTGCCTGCCAATTAATCTTTGTTCCGGGCCATCCATGAGAGCAGTGAATGTTTTCACGCCACCGGGCTCAGGAGGATGTAGGTAGTCCATGAAGCCAAAAGCTGCCAGTTTTCCTACATCCGAATGTATTCACACTCCGTAGACATCCATTGCCTGCAACATGCGCCTCTGACACTAGGAAGCGCAGTCCACTCAAGCGACTGCGTAAAAATACCCATATATAACTGTTACAACTTCTCTAAAATCCAACAGCCGGCCAACTCCTCATAATACAAGGTGATATCTGATGCCAAATTGTGGCACCCGGAAATCCATATGAAGGGAACCTCTCATGGGGAAACTAGCGCTCCTGCTTACCAGTAGTACCGCACAGGCGCTGGCGGAAGTTTCAAATATAGGAAACCTATAGGAGAGGTTGGTTGTTGTGAATCACGGATGGCCGAGCGAATCCACTGATGGACCGACAGGTGGTTGGGGGAATGGCTGCAATGGTTGCAGTGGTCACCTTACCACAACTGCTGGATGTAGTGTGGTGTAGTGCACTTGTAGTTGTAGCTGCAGCTGCAGCTGCAGTGTAGTGTAGTGTCGTCTCGTGTCGTGTAGTGTCGTGTAGTGTGGTGTCGTGTGGTGTAGTGTAGTGTATATAGCTTTAGTTGTAATGTCGTGTAATGTCGTGTAATGTAGCGTAATTAGTGTAGGTGCAAGTGCAGTTGCAGTTGTAGTCGTTGTGTGGTGTAATTCGTGTAGCGTAGTGCGGTGTAATGTCGTGTCGTGTTGTGTAGTGTAGTGTGGTATAGTGTGGTGTAGTCTAATGCAGTGTCGTGTAAGGTAGTGTAGTTGTAGTTGTAGTGTACCAGTAGTACCGCACAAGGCGGTGGCAGAAGTTTCAAAAATAGGAAACCTATAGGAAAGGTTGGTTGTTGTGAATCAGGGATGGCAGAGCGGATCCACTGATGGATCGAAAGGTGATTGATGTCTCCTCTCTTTCTCTCTCTTTCTCTGACTATCTACCTACCTACCTTATCTATCTTCTATGTATCTATCTATCTATCTATCTATCTGTCTATCTATCTATCTATCTCTCTCTCTCTCTCTCTTGCTTTCATTTGTCTATCTGTCTAGCTGTCTACCTGTCTATCTGTCTATCTACCTATCTTTCTGTCTATCTATCTATCTATCTCTCTCTCTCTCGCTTTCATTTGTCTATCTGTCTAGCTGTCTAGCTGTCTATCTGTCTATCTATCTATCTGTCTATCTGTCTACCTGTCTCTCTGTGGTGCAGTCTCATTGAGTGTAATGTAGTGTAGTGTAATGTAGTGTAGTGGAGTGTAGTGTAATGTAGTGTAATTTAATGTAGTGGAGTGTAGTGGAAGGTAGTGTAGTGTAGTGTAATGTAGTGTAGTGGAGTGTAGTGGAATGTAGTGTAATGTAGTGTAACTTAGTGTAGTGGGGTGTAGTGGAGTGTAGTGGA